GCCGTCCCCCCCCCCCCAATAGCTAGGAATCCAAAACAGTCCAGTGGAGCCTGAGCGGTGGGTGTTGCCTTCTGACACACTTATGGTGTGGCATATGCAAATGAGTTATGCTAACGAGTTATGCTAATGAGCTCCTGCACCTCTTTTTCTACCAAATGACCCCTGATTGATATTTAACTTCAGATGGGGAGGGACGGAAAAAAGAGAGACGGAGGGAGGGAGGGAGGGAGGGAGGGAGGGGGAAGGAGCGAAGGAAATATAGAGGTGGAAAGAAAGCAAGGGGAATGGAAGACCGCTGGAGGAGGCCTGCCTCCCCTTCACTACCCCAGCTGCCCTGCCGGGAGCCACACAATATGTGCGAAAGAGCCGCATGTGGCTCCCGAGCCACAGTTTGGCGCCACTCCTGATCTATCCTTTGGAGAGCCCCACTGACACCTCTGCGCAAGTGGAATCGATACTGAGGGGTGCCCTAGCTCTCCGTTTCAGGAAATCAACTCCTACTCGGCCCTGACCTGGACGAATCAGGCTGGCCCGACCTCAACAGATCTCGGAAGCTAAGCAGGGTCGGCCCTGGTTAGTCCTTGGATGGGAGACCACCCAGGAAGTCCAAGGTTGCTACGCAGAGGCAGGCAAGGGCAAACCACCCCCTGAACGACTCTCGTCTTGAAAACCCTACAGGGTTGCTGTAAATCAGCTGCGGCCTGATGGCCCTTTCCGCCACCAGGAGGAGGAGGAGGAGAAGAGTTGGTTTTTATACCCCGCTTTTCTCTACCCTGGAGCTGCGGTGGCTCAAGCGGTTAAGGCGCTGAACTGCAGGCTGTGGAAGGTCGGTAGTTCAGCAGTTCGAGACCCGAGTGTGCCGCATGACGGAGTGAGCTCCCGTCTCTAGTTCCAGCTCCTGCCAACCTAGCAGTTCGAAAGCAAGACATTGCAAGTAGATAAATAGGTACTGCTTCGGTGGGAAGGTAACAGCGTTCCGTGCGCCTCAGGGTTTAGTCATGCTGGCCACATGACCACAGAGAAGTCAAACTAAAAGCATAAAAGTACAAAAAGCATAAAAACAAAAAATATGCGGCAAGAAGGACAGATGAACAAGGGAGTGCCAGACGAGGAAGTCTTTACCCACATCCTGACCTGGATAGCCCAGGCAAGCCCAGTCTGATCAGATCTCGGAAGCTTAGCAGGGTCGACTCTGGCAAGGACTTGGATGGGAGACCTCCTTGGAATACCAGAGGTGGTAGGCAGGGTAGGTAGGCTTACGACTGTACATGTGGCACGGAAGAAGTAGATGATTCTGAGATGTCCTCTCCTTTCACTCCCCTAAAATAAATTTATCACTAGTGTCTTATCTCTGCAGGAAGGAGTTTCAGATATGGAAAAAGTTATATTTTTGCTTGCAGACAAAGAGCCGTATGTTTCTAATAGGTAAAGGTAAAGGTTCCCTTGCTCGAAAGCCAGTCGAGTCCGACTCTAGGGTTGCGGTGCTCATCTCCGTTTCAAAGCCGAAGAGCCAGCGCTGTCCGAAGACGTTTCCGTGGTCATGTGGTCGGCATGACTAAACACCGAGGCGCACGGAACGCTGTTACCTTCCCACCGAAGTGGTACCTATTTATCTATTTGCAATGTCTCGCTTTCGAACTGCTAGGTTGGCAGGAGCTGGGGCCAGAGACGGGACTTCACTCCGTCATGCGGCACACCAGGGTCTCGAACTGCTGAACTACTGACCTTCCGCAGCCTGCAGGTCAGCGTCTTAACCACTTGAGCCACCGCAGATCCATGTTTCTAATACAGTTGCTTTATTTGCACTGGTGGCTAGATTGATTAGATCCAAGTGTATGGAATGGACCACGGCCTGATTCGGCTATGTATTTATATGACCCTGTTGGTTATTCATTTAATTTGTGTTTACTTTGCAGTTTTATTATGCGGGATTTTATGTACTGTCTTCTGTACTGTTATGACCTATGGTCAACACAGTGAATTACTATTACTACTGTTCAGCCACCTCTCTGAATATCCTCCATGCCCCCAGTAGGGGTCAGTCACCAGAGGCCTCCATGACGTCCAGGTGCGCACACACACACTCACACACATATGAAAACACCCTCCCCCCCCCAAAAAAAAGTCTTCACCTGCTGGTGGAAGACAGCAACAGAAAGGGACGGGTGAGTCTCTCTGAGCAGAGAGTTCCAGCGTTTTAGTGCCACATCCAGGAGGGCCCCCTCTCATGAACACGTGAAGCTGCCTTGTCCTGTATCAGACCCTTGGTCCGCCACGGTCAGTTCTGTCCACTCAGATTGGCAGCAGCCAGGGGTCGTTTCGTAGAAAAAGAGCTAGGGGAACTCATTATCATACCTCATTAGCATATGTCACACCCCCTGACATCACGGGAAGTGTGTCATAAGGCCACACCCCCTGACATCACCGGAAGTGTGTCATAAGGCCACACCCCCTGACATCACCGGAAGTGTGTCATAAGGCCACACACCCCGCCCCCAACGATCCCGGCCGCCACCGGCGGCCTTGCAGCTCCACTTCCAATCATGTGCCCCGCCCCCTGTACCTCACCCGGGGGAACCGCGATCCCCCGCGATCCCCCCCGAAATGACCTCTGGCAGCAGCTCTCCAGGGCAGAGCTCTTTCACATCACCTGCTACCTGGTCCATTTACCTGGAGGTGCCGGGGATTGAACCTGGGACCTTCTGCCGGCCAAGCAGAGGCTCTACCACACACACCCCTCTCCTCGCAATCTGATTTCATAAAGTGGGGACACTTAAAGCAGGGCCGTGGGACATGACGGTAGTGGTCAGGCAAATTCACAAGGGAGTAGGCGGTCCTTCAAGTATGCTGGTCCCAAGTCATATAGGCTTCAAAGGTCAATGCCAACACCTCAAACTGTGCCAGGAAATAGACTGGGAGCCACCTAGACGGGCCAAGACTGCAGTGATATGCTCCCAACCACCTGCTCCGGTCAACATCCTGGCTGCAGCGTTAAGCGTTGGCCAACCTTTCTGAACACTCTTCAAGGTCAGCCCCACCTAGAGTGCACTGCAGTAATCTAGCCCAGAGGTAACCAGGGCACACACGATGGTGGCCAGATCTTTGTTCCCAACAAGGAGACACACTCGAGGCGGAGGGCGCCACTCACCTCCCAGAGGAAGAGGCCGCCCCACGGAATGCAAGCACTTGACAAAGTCCTCGTCGCCCAAGTTGCGGAGGACGGCGGCACCCATGCGGGTCATGATGCGCATGCTGGCCACCACGTAGGCCGAGTCGGTGAGCTGGATCCCGATCTTGGACAGGGGCGAGCCAATGGGCCCCATGCTGTAAGGGATGACGTACATCGTGCGGCCTGCGAGAGAACATGAAACAGATAACGGGCCACAATGAAGGGAAAGATGAGGGCAGGAGCGCAAACTGGGACAGACGGATGGCGGGCAGACGGGTTCGTCAGTGGATGGAGATGGGTTAATTGTTAGGGAGGGCGGGTATTTGAATCAATGAGCTGGGAGAGGAACATATATATATATAT